TGTTTAGTAGTTCTACAGTTGTAAGAATCAACCCCAGACAAGGCTGATATAGTAAATTTTCCAATTAGCAGACATCCCTTGGTGAAGCATGTTAAGGGCCAGAACAGGGAATGGCAGCAAAAGGCCACGCCAAGGCATTGCAATTACAATGGCTAAGTGAGACATGTTTCTGACTGCCTTGTGGGCTCTGCAAACTCTTTGCTTCTTTGCTTTAACCCAAGTCAGTTATACTCTACGTCATAGGACAGGGATGGGGATCAGGGAGAGGAGTGAATAAAACAGACCTTCTTGCTGGCAGATGTCCATGGCCAGACTATTAATTGGCAAGCAAAAGGAGAGAGGTAATTGCAGATGCATGTGATGGCAGCAGAAAGCTCGGGCCCGATCAGCATCATCTTGCGCCCAGTGCTTCTAGTAACAGTAAACGGTCAGAAAGCTCAGGAATAGGATGGGCTGCAAGAGGGGAACATGAACACCAGCCTCTATGCCCTGCCCAGGCTTCTGACTCAGATGTAGTGATGAGTGGGCTAAGCTAGTTCATCAGCACCATGAACATGAACCCAGGTGACAACCTGGCAAAGACTTGCCTGAGGATCAAAGTCACTTTCTGTTTGGGGTCCCCAAACCTGAGCCATACTTTTCTACAGCTCGAGCTTCCACAGAGGACCACAGGCGGCTCCTGGGCCAATAGTAGAAATGTAAAGAAAGGCCTATGGGCAGGTGAAGGAGCCTCTGATGAAGTCTGAAATGTGGCACTGCTATGGGTACCAAATCAGGGAATGAATGAATTTCACATTCAAATCATATTCTTACACAATACCTGAATCACTCTTACAAAACCAAGGCTTCATATCCTTATAATAAAAAAGCATTATATTGTCATTACAGTAAATACTTGTAATTCTGGTTTAGGTGAGTTATGGCAGAGTAGAAATATTTACATTTGGACAGATAACGACTCATACTTCAGGTATTAAAATGTTTAAACACTATTTTGATGACATCTGACATGTACATAATGATATTACTTGCTTCCCAGATTTCTTAACCCACTCAAAAGTTTTTCTAGTTAATTCAAGGTAATCACAATCACATCCTTCATTATGTTATGCTATTTTGTTTTTCTTTGTCTTTCTAGGATATCAAGTCTTCAGGAGATACTTCCCCAGTCAGTCTGTCTAAATTTCTTCTCTCCATGCCCCGCTGTGATCTCTTCCTGTTGCTCCTAGCTTGTACAGCCAGGAACCTAGATCACAAAACTCTTTAGAGATATGTTATAAGCAAAGCACTAAAACAGTTTGCAGCCCTAGTACTATTTTTGTGTGTTTGAAGGAAATTTTTGAGTGTTTCTTTCCAGGTTTGAGACAAATTTCAGAGAACAGAGGGTGCTGGAAACTTGGTCTATGTATAACTGCTGTGCTACTGAATATCTGCCTAAGAGCAGGTCATGCTGCTAGCCCCCTTTCTTGCCCAACTCTCTGCCTTCAACAGTTCTGAATGATGGAACACCGGAAAGAACAATTAAGAATAAACGTGAGAACCAGGTATGGTGGCACAGGCTTGTAATCCCAGCTACTCAGGAGGCTGAGGCAGGAGGATCACAAGCTCCAGGTCAGCCTTTGCAACTTCGCAAGAGCTTGTCTCAAAATACAATTTTTGGGCCAGGGATTTAGCTCAGTGGTGCCACTGCCTGCCTCACAAGCACAAGGTCCCAAGTTCAATCCCTGGTACCAAAAAAAAAAAAAAAAAGATACATAAAATACAATTTTTAAAAAAGGTCTGGGAAGCCAGGCATGGTGGTGTACATGGCTAATTCCAGCACTCTAAGGTTGAAGCAGAAGGATCACAAATCCTAGCCCAGCCTGGACAACTTAGTGACTTGGTGAACATCTTAGTTACATTTTCATTGGTGGAACAAAATACTCAATACCCATAACTTAAAGAGGAGAAGTTTATTTTAGCTCACAGTTTGTAGAGGTTTCAGTCCATAGTTTCAAGGCCAAGGGGCACATGGCCCAAGGTCAGGTAGAGGAGAAACAGTCCATGGCAAGGCAGGCAGGAAACAGCAAGCCTTACTTCTCTTTTTATTCCATCCAGGTGGGGCCACCCACACCCAGGTTGGGTCTTCCCTCTTCAGTAAATCCATCACCCACACTCAGAACTATGCTTAACCAATCCGCGACTAATCCAGGATCACACACCCATGATCCAGTCATTCCCAAATGTCCCACCTATGAGTAAATGAGGCTTTGGGGAACATCTAGAAACAATCTCAAAATAAAAAGTTCAAACAGGGCTGGGAATATAATTCAATGCAAAGACCCTGAATTTAGTCCTTAGTACTGAAGAAAAAGATAAAAAGGCTGATGATGTAGCTCAGTGACAGAGCTCATGCTTGCCTAGCATGTATAAGGCCTTGGGTTCAAAGCCCAGTACCAAAATAATAATAATAATGATAGTAAACACAAGGCCACATTCTTCTTTCAGAAAATGAAGCAAGAGCTGACAAAGCAGGGGTGACCCCAGCTTGGGGAATTTGCTGTAACTTCTGACAGAGGAGCATCTCTAAGCTGCTCCCAGAGGACCTATAAAGCCAACTTCTTGAGCCTAGGCAGGCCCTAAGAAAACCCAATGACATTACAAATACATGAACAAATAAGCTAAATTAGCTGGGTTTTCCTGAAATAGTAGTCCAGGTGTAAAAGGCCACTTCTCCCAAGGACATACATCTTCCAAATATCACAAAGCATCCAAAATTCACTGACTAGCCTACAAAGACTCTTCCTAGGCACCCATCACCTCCTATGGCTACCACCCATTTTACTGACAGCACTTGACACAAATGCAGGCTTTATAGCCTGCATATATGCAACTTCCTCATAAATTCAGGACCCATAAAAACCAAACAAAAGAGACACAACTAAGTCCTCTCTACATAAACCATCTCAATTTCTTGTGGGCCCTGGATCAACCTACTTTGAAAGTTTAGAGTAAGAAGAATCAGAACTTCGCACACTCGCTCTTTCTAAAATGTCTAAAGTTAGCCTCAAGATCTCTCTCAGGAAGCCAGGAAGTTCAGAGTAAGAGAGGAGGCATTAGCACTTTAAACCCTAAAATGAAAGAGCTGAGGACAACTTTGGCTTCACATTCTGCAGAGAGGAGGAAAGACCTCTTGCCTGGTTTCCACTACAACCAGTTGAAAACCCTACAATCAGAGCATTTATTTACTGAGATGATGGGGGCCCCATAATGACTGTTCATTGCAAATGACTAAACTATGTCTTTAAAAACATTTCTTTCAAAAGCAGGGTGCATTACCAGGGAAGGTTTGAGAACTTATATACACACAGAAGTATTTTTCTTGGGTTAGACTTGATGAAAATTTTAACCTTTTCAACCTCTAAAGAAACCAGTGAGGAAGCCTGCCTGGTGGCTAGGGGTTCTACCAGGGCCATGGCCTGGGCCCTGTATACAAGCTTGCCCTTTACTCTGCAGCTGGAGTCCAGTTATGTTGGGAGGAGACAATCAGAGAAGCTCTCACATCTCTGACCCAGAAGGCGTCTTCTGAGCATTGCTCAATGCTCCTGTTATACAACATGCAAAATAAATAATCAACCTTAAAAGTCAGGCAGCCAAAGCTCTATTCAAATAATAAGCCCTTTTATAAGCTGCTTATGATCTGCCAAAATCAGCTCTAGAGGAACACCAGGAACTCTAAAATGTATTGTTCTCATTAACTACTTGGGGGAACTATGCAAGTTTCAATGGTTTTATTGGTTTTCTAAGAGACAAAGAAGCAAAGGTTTCCTTCTACCCACACCCTGCCCTTAATCTCAATAATTTAAATGTAACTCTAGTCCCACCATCTCTGAAAGGCCCCTATAAGAGTGACCTAGAAAAGGGCCCGAGATTTTTCTTGGAAAATAAGCCACTCTCTACTTCCCTCCTGCTTGATTGCTGGGGTGAGGATGGGAAGAATCTAAATGTCAACCTTTTTGGAAAATTTACTGGGAGGGAAGGAGTGGGCAGGACAGAGGCATCAAAGTGTACTCTTCTGCCTGTGAGAGCCCTCTTACTTAACTGCAAAAGGAAAGAGTAGCATGGCCCAAGGAAAGCTATTCAAAACCATGTTTGCTGCCCTTGGGAAAGCTTGACAGCACAGTTTGCCCAGAACAACTTCTGTAAGTTTCAAAATACAGGAAGGGGCCTTTTGTTAAGTGGTCTTATTAAGGAAATGTGATGGAAAAGATCTATTCTAAAACTCATTTGTAAAAAATCACAAAAGGGATTTTGATATGTGTTTGGTATTAATATCCCAGGACTGGCAGCCCCTAAATACAAAACTCAGGATTTCCTTCCTCCATAAAACCTTAACACCTTGCTTTTCCTCCTCCTGATTCCCTCCTATAAATTGGTCCCTTCCTCAGCTAGACTGATACTGTTTCACTCACTAGCTGATGGGTTTTCTGAGAGCAGAGACCGAGACTCATTCATCTCTCTGTCCCTATTGTCTAGCTCAGTCCCTGGAACACTGTAGGTAGTCACTGTATCATTTAATTAGTGATAATATTAACAACACTTGTTAACATTTAAATTCTGAGTAACTCTGTGCTTAACGTCCTGTTTTTTTCATTTTCCAGGTAAGGAAGGTGAGAGGCACTGAGGTTAAATATCACGCCTAATCTCATCCAACTATTAAGTGACAAAACAAAGATATAAACTAGGCAATTAGGCTCCATAACCTTCATTCTTAACCAATACGGAAAGCTAGACAGGAATGAATGAGCGATCCAGTGAAAGGGCTTACACACCTATGTAACTATTAAACAAGGACTGATATTGGTTTAATTTAGAACCTGGTTTATTCTCATACAAATTGATTAAGCAACTGGTACTCTATACCTAGACCAGTGCTAAGCATTAATGGCACAAAGATAAAGATATGGTCTTATTCCTCAAGAAAAAGAGAGACAAACAATAAAAGCTTATTGAGTGCTTACTATGAGCTGGGCACTGTTGCAAATACTTTACATGTATTAATTTCTATCATCTTCACAATTCTCTATTAAAAAACCCCAGTGATGGGGCTGGGGATGTAGCTCAGTGGTTCCGCTGTCTGCCTTGTTAGCGCAAGGTCCCAAGTTCGATCCCTGGCACAGAAACAAAACAAAACAAAAAAAACTCAGTGATATTATTATTATTAAACTGACATGAGACAAGTGAGAAACCAAGGAATGGGGAGATTGAGAAATTTTCAAGAAGCATCGCTTGAACATAGCAGCTGTGTTAGTCAGCCTTCCATTACTGTGACCAAATATCTGAGCTAATCAACTTGTAAGGAGGAAATTATTTCTTTTGTTTCATAGTTTCAGCCCATGGTCACTTGGCCCCATCACATGGTGGGACAGTACATCATGGTAGGGAACACATGGTGGAAAAGTTACGCACTCCCCACCACCCGGAAGGAAGCTCCCCCAATGCCATCCCAGGCTCCTAGGGCCAAGAAGGTGAGCCGGTCCCAGCACCCAGAAGGAAGCTCCCCCGCTGCCATCCCAGGCTCCTAGGGCAGAGAAGCTGAGCCAGTCCCAGCACCCGGAAGGAAGCTCCCCCACTGCCATCCCAGGCTCCTAGGGCAGAGAAGCTCAGCTGGTCCCAGCACCTGGAAGGAAGCTCCCCCACTGCCATCCCAGGCTCCTAGGGCAGAGAAGCTCAGCCGGTCCCAGCACCCGGAAGGAAGCTCCTCGCCTCCATCCCAGGCTCCTAGGGCAGTGAAGCTCAGCCGGTCTCAGCACCCAGAAGGAAGCTCCCTGCCTCCATCCCAAGCTCCTAGGACAGAGAAGCTGAGCCAGTCCCAGCACCGGAAGGAAGCTCCCGCGCTGCAATCCCAAGCTCCTAGGGCAGAGAAGGTGGGCCACGTGGGCGCCAGAAGCACCCCCCCTGTGGAAATGAGAAGACACATAAACAAGTCTCAAAAACAGACTTCCAGATCACCTACAGCAACCCCAAAGGGAAACAAGATGGAACACTCTGATACTCAACCACCTGGACTCTCTGAACTGGCAACAAAAGAGGATCTGGGAAAAATGAAATCAGAAATAC